TAGTTTGGCATGATCTGTTTTTAACAGATCTGCTGGCTACTAGTTATGACTTTGTTTGCTTTTTTATTATCTTTTCTAGGATCTTCTTAGGTATTGATATTAAACTGATTGGTCTGTAGTTTCCTGGGTCCATTTTTTTCCCTTTCTTGAAAATGGGGACCATATCAGGCCTTTTCCAAACCTCAGGTACTTGCCCGGTACTCCAGGATTTATGAAAGACGTGGTGCAATGGTTCTGAGATAACATCTGCTAGCTCTTTCAGAACTCTGGGATGTAGTCTGTTGGTCCTGGTGATTTATATTCATCAAGGTTGGATAGGTGTTCTCTTATCATTTTCTTGCTTATTTTAATTTTTGTTTCTAGTATGTCTTTTGCAGTGGGTTTTTTGGTGTGTTGGTCTATAGTTTCTTTTTGTGTGAAGACTAATGCAAAGTATGAGCTTAGCAGCTCTGCTTTCTCCCTGTTGCCTATAATTTCTTTGCCATCTTCTCTCTTTAGAGGAGCCTACAGTTTCCTTGACTTTTTTCTTGTTGTTAATATGTTGGAAGAAACTTTTTTATTGTCCTTGATTTCTGTTGCAAGTTTTTATTCATTCTAAGCCTTTGCTTTCCTGACTTCACCTTTGCATGTTCTGGCTGTCTGCTGATAATCAGCCTTAGTTATGTGCCCCTCTTTCCATTTTTTGTATTTGTCCTTTTTGTCTTTTAGTTTGTTAGAGAGATCTTTGTGCAGCCATGCTGGTTTCTTCTTGGATTTCTTGTTTTTTCCCTCAGTGGTATTGTGCTGGTCTGGGCTTTTGTGATTGCATTTTTTAGGGTTTCCCACACTTCTTGGGTTGTTTTGTCCTTTAGGATTTTTATCCATGGGATCTTTCCTAGGTTCTCTCTGAGTTTGTTAAAGTTGGCTCTTTTGAAGTTTAGGGCATTGGTTGAATTGTTTTCTATTGCTAGTGTTTGCATTATATTAAATTCCAGTATGACGTGGTCACTTTCACCTAAGGTTCTGGTAATTTCGATTCCCTCTTTCACTTCTTCTCTATTTGTAAGGATTAAGTCCAATATAGCTTTACGTCTAGTTCCCTCCTTCACCTTTTGGGTGACAAAGTTGTCGGCTAGGTTGGTTAGGAATCTGCAGAGTTTGTCTCCCAGTTGATATCTGGATAGTTGAAGTCTTCGATTACTACTGTGGTATACTTCCTACATGCATTTGTTAACTGGTTGGCAAAGAGTTCATCTATTTCTTCTGATTGATTTGATTTGATTTTGATTTTATTAAATTTATACCCCGCCCTTCTCCCGGAGGACTCAGGGCGGCTTACAGCCAGTTTAAAACAATAGTACAGTACAATACAAAATTTAAAAAGATTTAAAAATAACTATTCAGATTTGGCTGCTCCTACTAAAAATTTAATTTAAAACCCCTTTAAAATACCCCTAGGCCAGTCC